GTTGCTTGAATGTGTGCAATTCCCCTAATGTAAAGGTCCACTTGACAATAACTTTTTGTTGTTAGTACATAGAAAACTTTACTGAAGATGTGAAACAGATCTTTGTGTTCCTGTTTTGTGTTTTTTTTGTCTTCAGCAATTATTTCCCTGTAAATCTGATGTGCTTGAACAGAAGAAAAGAATGTGCAAATCCATAAATAATGTATAAGATTTGAAGAAACTCGGCGTTGAATTGAAGCAATGTCTGATCATGAGACTTAAGGAAAAAGCTAAATTGCTTTTTTAAAAATATATGAGATGGAAGATGAATAGTGAACATCAACAGATATTCTTAGTCACTGCAGATTTGTGTATACATATTTTAGCAACGGTGTTCGTGTTGTAGACTATGAGTAATAATATGAATGACAATGTGTGTAGAAACGTGCAAATATGCACAAACTACTGTATTTTCTCAATGATTATACTTTTGGAGTTATATGGACTTATAAGTTAAATACGAGCCAGTTGATGTTAAGGACAATAGGAAGGTGAAGGGTTATGATTACATAAGTTTAACAAATATATTTTTATATGTCATTAATTTTACATGTTTGCATGTGTTAAATTTGAATTGTTTTACTTGATTGTCTGAAGAAAATGTTCCATTGTTGGTAGTAAATGGTGATCCTGCTTTAGATGTCTTTCTGAGTCTTCAGTAAAAACCTGGATAAGTCCTTGATAAATTTATGGTTGATTTAAGCACTAGCTACTCCAATCATCACATTTTTGACTCCTGCGGTGCTTGATTTGTGCTCCAGAGCCTTATGAATTGACAATAACCACCAAACTTTTTAGATGTCAATAGCAGTTTCTCACCTGCTTTTGAAATTTTGCAGATTAAGGCCCAAACTGTGCCTTTTTTATATATAATAGCCTACTTTATGTGATCAGACAGGTACTATCTAATGTATCGATTCCTCATATCTGACTGTTATTAGATTTGGGAGTAACTAGGTATAAAATTCAGGCCAAATTTAGAGGACCTTTTCATTTCATATTTGTATTTTCTAGTAATCTTTGTTATCTCTATAGTAAAAAAAAAATCAGTCTGATTTGAAAAAAATAAAGTTCAACAGTAGAACCCAGTAAGACACACTAAAAGACTAAAAAATGTAGATTGTTTTACTTTATTGTCAGTAACACACTCACAGTAGATCCGTGTTGCCTGGTAGCTGAAGGTTTTTTGGCCACTCTGACCAAATATGAATGAACTCCAAAAACCCTTCAACAGTTTCTCTCAGTCGACCCTCTTCAGCTATTCTGTCGCCTCCTTTATTCTGCTTTTTCTGTCCAACTCGATCCTCTCTGCGTTACATAAACACTTGAAAAATGTATAAATAATTCTAGCAGTGGGTTGTGGGAAGGGGGTGGGGGGGTTTGCCGTGAAACCATTAAGCTTCACTTAAAACAGCTATTAAGAGTGCATCTGAGGAAATGAGGCATGAAAGTCTAAGAGGTTGAAATTAAAAGAGGCCCTCAAGACATTACTTTTGCATAACAGTTTAACAAAATGGCTGAAGAGAGTCTAGAATCAAGAGATCTATAATTGAAGAAGGGCTGCTGTCCTATACTGAATTCTTGCCATCTTTTTTTGGTTAACCCCTTTAGTGAGGGAGGGTAAATGTGGATCTGACTCAGAGTATTGAGTTTCTAAAAAAGTCTAACATCCACTTACTTTGATTCTTCATATCTTACCCCACTTACCCAACTAAGCTTGGGTTAAAATGTTAAACATACAATTTCCTGAAATATGCACAATCTTACAAATGCACTAGCAATTAGCATTTGACCCCGACAGCAAAAACTAAAGTAAAAACTCAACTCAATCCGCAGCTGCCATAATGGTGTAGTGCTGAATTACAGTCATCCATCTATGCTAATTTAAGCAACACTAATCTACCTTCCCACGATTTTTAGGCACTAGTAGCTCTTTCTCCCAATTGACAGACAGGATATGAGCAGAGAACTTAAGGCCAATTTATACTTCTGACGCATAGCCTCTGCAACCGTCAAATCTGCGTTATCAAACCCCCCGCACAGAGGCTCTGCAACCGTTGTCGTGCAAAATCCCGACTGCACGTCAGACGGTCGCAAACCCGAGCAGACCTCAAGCGGAAGTGCACAGACAAAAAGCAGCTATGATTGGTCATGGTATGCCTTTCCGGCTCTCTGTGTGTTCGTCCTTCTCGATTCGGTGCCGGGGCGCACCATTTTTAAAAAACTGAGCAGTAATAACAATGGATAACCACGACGAAAGGTTGATCGAGGAGTTTCTGAAGTAAAACCACTTGTACAATGCCTCAGACTTGTTGCTTTGTAAAATAAACACTGCCGCCGGCGCCGCCGAAGAAGTTCTCATGACCACCTGCCGAAGTTCTCCCGAGTTCTCGAATAGGCTCCCCCTAGCGCTTTGGCGGGAAACTGCTGTTCGTCCCTAGAAATTCCAGACCGATGTTGCAGACGCTTACCAGCAAAACGCGGTTGCAGAAGTATAATCTGCCCATTAGTAGATATATACGGCCCGGTTTGCCATTTCACTCGACACCGACAAATGTCACGTTTTTTGATAATTCCTCTGCTCACCTATGTTTAATCATGATTGTGACTAGTTGAAATACTTGCTCAATTTCTAGTAAACCACTGCTCATAAAACAAAAAATAAACAAAACCCCCCAAAACATCTCTCATGGCATTGCTTATCCATCAATGTCCTCTATGTTGGATTGTTAGCCACCATCTGAGCAAAAATTGGTTGTAAAGACATTGAAAAGACATTTACACCCAAACAATGTCTACATTTGGTTGAAAAGTGAAAGGTGAAAAGCCATAATTGTTAGATTCTTGAAAAACTTATTGCACTAAAGTGCACTAAACGGCTTGATTTTGAACAACTATATGTTGGTTATATCAAGAGTATGATGGACCGACCAGATGTAGCCTAACAAAAAAACAATGTCTGGTGTTTGGAGGGCAGGAAGTTAGTTATACAAGTGCCTTCAAGTTTACATCAATAAGGATTAAAGAGAGAGATTATAGAGAAAATGGTTATATATGAAAAAAAAGGTTCATATGACCAAAAACAAAAAAAGGCAAAGTATTAGCTAGCATTAGCATGAAAAGACTTTATAGCATTTGGCCTCAGAGGAGAAGAAACGCTGTTTCATTTTTTATTCTTAAACTGAAGTGCACTTTAAAGGTCCTACCCAGTTTGTTTTATCATGAACTGGTCGACCACACTCAAAACCAGGTGCATACGGTTTATTTAGATCTTAAATAACAAAACAAAAAAAGCAAGAAACTAAAAGTGACAGGATGAGAAGACAGGATGTCGCCAATACTGTGACAGGCCAACCTGTAGGAGCCAAGTCAAAGTGATGACTTTATCTTTATTTTAAAAGTCTTAAGCCCCCCTGAAAATGAGAAAGTCATTGTTGTTCGATGCTGTGGCGTACGTAGTGTTTACATTCAGACTGGTCTAACTAGGGAGTACCAATATGGAGGCTGGTGACTTCACAGCACCGTGTACTACGGTATTATCGTCAATGTTGCTATCAGCAATCCAGTGAATAAATAGATATCAGTGGTTGGCGCTAGCAAAGGTTAGCTTAGCATGTGCTGTGAAGCTAAACTCCTGAGATAAGAGCCAGTCCACAGTTTTTAGGAATCTGAACAACATGCGTTTCTAGCTCAAAATCGAAAATGTCTACAGTGATGATATGTAAAGACACAAAAAGGAGCATTTTTTTTTATATCAAACGTTTCAATCATTAGAATCTCAAAACAACTTACTTTAGAAAACAGCTTGTAATTTTTTTTTTTTTTTTCAGATATCGTCTAATGTGTCAAGTTATATTGTATCCGTATAGTTGATAAAATATCATTCAAAACTCCAGACACTGTATAATCTCTAAAGTTTATCAACACAATTTCCCCTCATTTAGGTTTGGACACAACAGAAATGTAAGAAGAGGGACTCTTCTTTATTAAGATGCTAGATTAGTGATTAAACTTTACTTAAATTCTAAAGAAAACCAAAAAAAAAGATACCATTATCTGTATATCTGGTGCAATGTAGAATTAATTTGAAGATGTTGCCTCAAATATGTTGCAGATTTTCAATTGCAGATAAACTAAAATGTTGAATTACATGACTGAGATCCCTCTTTACACTCTTTATAAACACTGACAATATATTCTTAATGTCATGAAAGGAATGATAAGCGAAAAACATCAAAGCATTCTAACAAATTTAACCCAGAGTCAATTTGTTTTCCATGAGAAGTGTGGGCTCTAATATAAGGTTTCTAAGCAGAAAGTGACCTTGGCCAGTTTTCTGCATCCAAATCCGACTCTTAATTCTAAAGCCATGGATGAAGAAACCCTTAGAAAAATAAAAACTGAGTCTAAACACTTTCTTGTCACACTGTATAAAGACCTCACAATAAAACTGCCTTTTAACTACCTTTTTGATTAGTCCACTTGGCGTGTTGCTGCTGAATCAATTTGCAGAAGCCAACTTTAGTTTAATCAGTTTCTTCCACTAAATAAAAAGAGGGTTCAAAAGGCCACAGTATTTGGAAGAGAAAATTGGAAACAGAGAGGCAGGGCATGATTGAACACTAAAGGTCATCACAGAGCGCATCGGATTTCTTATCAAACCTTTCTTCTTCCTGCCTGCTTTGGGGAAAGCCAATATCTGCTGAGTGATGTTTTTAAATGACCCAGCTCCTGGCTAACTCCCTCCCCTAACTTGGCGTGAGCATCAGAGGTAGTGTGCAAAGAATTAACAACCGGGGGAGTCATCACACAACACTAACTGCTCTGCACAGCTTCCACAGCCACGACAAAATAAAGAAAAAGAAACCCTAAATGAAAGCAGACTCACCGAGATCAGACACAGGTGTTCGTAGACGAAGAGATTAAATACAAAATTATAAAAAGCATAAAACGGGTCTCACCGTTCCGCCTCCAGACGCATCTCCTCCCGCTTTTGCCTCCTCAGCTCCCGGCGCCGCTCAAAGTCCAAATCCTCCATGATGGTGCCCTGAAGAGACATCAAACACAGATAGGTTCATTTTTCTGGGGAGGAAGGGAAAGCAATCATGTACAATAGTGATCTTAGCAAACATATGTAAAAAAGCTCTAATACAGTCTTGGGTGTTCTGCACCAACACAGCTGATTCCAATGGATGCATAAGTTCCTCAGTAGGCCAGATGCTGCAGGAGACTGATAATTACTCATTTATTATTTAAGAAATGCTGGAGAGACTCTCTTTAGAAGTGATATTGGACACCACTTCCTTATCATGAAAACTGATGATCATGATCTCATATGGAGGATTTATTACAAAAACAAAAAAAAAACAACCTTTTACTTTTTAGGTTTCTTTTACCATATGTTTTGGATCTTTATCCTGTAAAAAGGCCAAATGACAATGAGTCCAACAGATGCTTGATTATAATGTCCTTGCATATCAAAATAGTTTGAGGCTATGCAGTCAGATGAGGCTTCCAAACAAAAGGACGGCCCACAGCATCACAGATCTCAGGTTTCTTATTACAATAGAAATCATGTACTTTGAGTGCAAATCATTATTTCATGCCAAATCCAATTAAGGGTGTTTGACAGTAGTTCAATCCGAAATAGGTGAACAAAACTTAACTTTTGAGCTTGTGATGGTAGGAAAGAGGTCTTTTTACCATTCAAAGAACCAGTTACAATGAAAATTATTTTGTTTTGCTGCAGTGCGATATTAAAATTAGGAAATTTTGACCTCCTTATGGTGCATGTGTGGGAAGATAACACTTCATGTTCATTTATCCCTTTTTATTGTTCCAGTTATCTTCAATGTTGCTTTTTTTTGTCTTCAATTTTAAGAGTAGCTAAGTGAAAAAACAGCCATATGATTCTTAAAATAAATGCAAACTACAAACATCCCACATTTAAAGAATTATGGAAAAAAACACCACTACTTACATCCTAAATCAATAATTTCTATAAATGCCCCCACCCCGCTGAATACCTGTTATTAAACTATAGGCTGATTTTTTTTTTTCCCCTGCAAAATTTAAGGGAGATTAAGCTTCTGCAATAAAAGATGAAAGCGTTTTAAGCCTTTTTACACATAATAACCAGTGTTGCTTCCCCTTCACACAGACATCAGTCAAACGGCAGCTCATATAGAGCCTGCTTCTGATGTTTAAAAACTACGCTGGACTTAAACAGCATGACGCGCAACTTTAATTGCCACCTTTCTCGATGGGGTTATAATTTTGCACACACAGCTCCGATTAGTCATCAACAAGCTGAGGATTTAAAGCTTTAAAAAAAAATGTTGGAAAGCATCCAAACTAGCCTTAAAAAAAAAAAAAAGAGAGCGGTAGGCTGAAGCTAAGGCAGGATGTTAATATCATCAGCTTGGAGTAAATCTAAGGAGAAAAAAACAACTTGGTACACGACTGGCTGTGAGGCCGGAGACCACCCAGGAGCTGCTGAGGCTTCCTTCATAAATCTATGATTCGTGCAAAAAAGAAGAAAAAAAAGACTCTACTGCACACCGATTGAAACGAAGCATGTAATGTAAGCTGTGGATTCACGCATATTCCAATAAAGTAAAGCTATAAAGTGCAAACACGGCTAAGAAGAAGATTTTTTAAAAACATTTCAATGATAAAAAGAACAGCGTCATACCTTTAATTAGCCTCCAAAGTATTTTTTTCCCCCCGTTAAACCATATCGGTTACTCTTAATTGGTTTGTCCGAGCAAAGCCTCAGAGTAACAACAGCAGTGGTCTCCCAAAGCTGGCCTCATTCGACAGAAAATGCTTGCATCTCTCTCCCTTCCCTGCTAGTTGTCCCTCCCTCCTCCTTTCCCCCTTTCTGCCTTTCTGTCCCCCATCTCTGCTTCAAAACTTTTCCTGTGTTGTTTAGAGACGTGTCAGAGCTTGGCTAAACTTTGTTTTCCCTCGTAGCTTCCTGTATGCAATAAGTTATGCATCCCCCCCCTCCCCTCCAATAGACATTGCCACCCAGGTATATATTATGCAAACAAGAATGTGGGAGAGGCATTGCACAGTTTGTGCTTGCACATACATGCATATTAATGAGCAGAAACAGACGTGTTTGTAAAAACACCTGCAAACTCTCACCCTCCTCACTGCATCTTCAACCTCTCTCATATGAGCCCTTACAGTAAACAAAACACAGGCCTCTGTGTGCAATTATACTCCAAAAGTGATCAGGTTCTTAAGAGACACTCGGAGGAAGAAATCTATGTTAAGCTTTACATTTATTGTCATTTGTGCAAACGAGGGCGTTGGGAAACGGCCAGTCACACAACTGCAATTAAGACAATAACCAAAACCTGGTGAGACCTCCAAACATTGTTCTTATCACACGCTTTCCCACAAGCAGCAGCAATGAGGGGGTGTAACTTATTAGCAATGCAAGCACGCAAAGCATCCATAGCCTATTGTTACACATAATGCTTGATTTATACAGCTAAAAGGCATGCATTTTTGTTCAATGCACACAATTTCACAAAATGACTTAATGGCATGTCATCTGTCAACCCTTGGATGGAAATTAAAGATCACAGTTTGGATTACAGTTTGCGTTTCTAATGAGCAATAAACACGAGGAAAGCAATAAAGCTTTTTAAAATGCATTCTGTTTTTATTGTTAGGCTATATCCATGTCTTATGCTCAGTTATTAAAGCCAGTGATTGTGGGTTTGCGGTTATTTTCTTCCTCATCTAAAAGTGCTCCTGCTTTAGCACTTCAGTGTTTAGCCGTCTCTCTTTTCTAAACAATTAAATAAAAACATGGTTGCTATTAACTTTGTGCAATCATTCCTGTTTTATCTTCACAAGAGGGTACACAAGGCCAAGTGCTTCTGTGACTCTTATCATTTTCATTAACTTTGTTGCTTTTGTCCAAAGAAAGTAAAGCAACTTTGTGCTTTAATGTTTAGCGGTGTCTTTGCTGGACAAATCAAAGACATTGCTCTCATAAACTTCTTATATATAGTTTTTTTTTTTTTTTTTGTATAGAAGGTACACCTGGTCCTTTCTACATAAATTCCACTCTCTTCCTTTTATTTCCAAAGAAGATACTTCTGCTCATTTGAAACAGTGTTTAACTGAGTCTCTATCAGGGAAGATGAATTTTTTAGAACCATCAGCTGTTGTGACGTTATATTTTCTACATCATAGAAGGTAATGCTATTGTGTTTAGCTGTGTCCCTTTCATCTTACAAAAATGATTAATAAAACCTTTGATGGCAAATTGTGTCTTTTTTTAAATGATATCCATCCCTAACTTAATGCTTCAATGTTTAGCTGTGTCTCTTTAACAGAGGAAATAATGATAAACTGCTTTCTTGCATTCACCTTTCCAAAGCAGTTGATGGAAAGAATGTTGCCAGTCATCATTTGAGCTCTTTCTCTATAGACATGACTCTTCTCTGCCCTCTTAAACCCGCAATTAGTACAAAAACTGGCTGCTAGTACAGAGCCTGCTTCAGCTAGAGGTTTTATACTGATAACAGGGAGTTGTTTTTCTCCACTTTCACCAGAGGTGGTTAATCCAGGCCCAAAGAATTAAAAGCTTGTAACTGCATTGGTTTCCACCTTGCATTTCCAGCTCCACAACACAGACTGGAGGCTAATCCTCTGGTTAAGTAAAGAGCACCAAATTTCACCATGCTTTTACAAGACTGCACAAAAATCTCAGCTTGATTTGATCAATTGGGTTTTATTTCATTAGCTACAAAACTTGACTGCCTCTCATGTTTAAAACTGAATTTCACTCCGTGATATGATTAAATCTTTCCATGCAATTAGATTTTTACTAATATGCAGCTTTCTAAACCTTCTTGTCTTTTAAAGTCTTATATTGTTAAATCTGCACTTAAATAGTGTTATAAAATAATAGAGTTAAAATGTAATTAAAATGCAAAGCAAATGACTATTCCTTTCTCCAAGCTTAATCACCTGAGCCCTCAGAGAAAGGGCCTTTAGTGCAACCTAGAGGTGTAACTGTGGTGTGCACAGAAGGGACCACCCACACATTGCAAAAGCTAACAAAGCCAGGAGAGAGGAGAAATGTTCCATAAAGTTCAGCAAGCCAGGGTAAACATTTTGTCACATTTTTAACCTGCCTGAGCCTGTCAGCTGCAAAACATCTCCCTTCACTGTGTCCATTTATTCCTGTTTATCTCCATCCATCCACTCCCACCACTCTTTCTTAGCCTTTCCTCATCTGGGCCAATGCCTTCCATACTGGGAATAATGACACATTCACCAGTCAAATTACTACCTGTCGAGACTGCCAGACCCTGGCACACAGCTCTCTGTCTAAGTGCCAGTCTCTTGAAAGCCCTTTAAACCCAGGCTGATATGATCCTCACAGCCTCTGGGATTACGTACCGTATAATAACTCCACCCACTGACAAAACCCCTGGAGTTGAAACAATAGAACCCCGTTGACCGAACGAGGCACCAAACAAAAGGATATATTTATTTTCGGGTTCTGCTGAAATGCTTCCAGCATTGCAAACCTTTCTATCACAGGAGAGGAATTGCTATTGGCTCACAATCTTTGCACAAACAAATTAATCTTCAGGGTAGAGTCATGAAGCTATGTGAGGAATGTTATTTCAACTTTGATTATAAAAGATAGACTTAAGAGACTCCATATTTCTTATTTCATGTGCCAGTTAGAGTTCCTCTTCTTTGTGCATAAAAGCTTTGGTTAATTAAAATGGGGTTAAATTGAGACAAAGCAGATGAGCAAAAAAAACAAACAGTACTCCTATTTATGGGATTCCAAGCTATGTGATCAGTAGATAAAAAGAACAGTAACATATTTTATGACTGTATCAACAATTTAGCTCTTTGTGACATTATCTAATAGCATATATATATTAGGGGTGGAACGGTTCACAAAATCCACGGTTCGGTTCAGTTCACGGTTTCGTGGTCACGGTTTTTGTTAGCCTGACATGTTGTTAGCATAAACAAAACGTGTTGCACAAAGCTTGC